CTAATTAAAAGATGGCAGAGAAGAGAAGAATGAGATCTTACCAATTGAGCAATAAAAGACAGTATGCCTCTTGTATTTAATTCTTTTCCTTTCTCTACTCATTATTTTGGTTATATTAAATTTATCATTATTTGACAGAGTTCACTGATTGTTTTTACTGTAAATAAATGTGTTAATCAACAAACAGGTACTGAACATCTACTATGTGCAGTGGCATCATGACAAGGTGTCCTGCTGCCCTATTGTAGGTGTGGTATTTCCCAGCAGTTTTTAAAAATTGTCTGTCCTAGAGAACAAGGCCAGTCTAACAAGCAGCACTGGTTCATCTGAGGGCAAAGCAACTGGGATTCTTCACAAGAGACCCCGAAGGGCCTCGTATAACTGCCTATCCACTGAGAGTGTTAGGTTCCCAGCACAAAGCTGTGCAAGGAAGTTAAGACAAGTTAATGATAGAACCCTTACAAGGTGGGCATTGCTACAAAGTCGCAAGCTCTGTTTTCCAAACATACCACTACCGCAGAATTTCTTATTCTTGGCACTACAAAAATTTCAGACCAGATAATTCTTTATTGTGAGGGGCTGTCTTATGCCTGATGAGATGTTTAGCAGCATCTCTGGTCTTTACCCATTAGAGGCAATAGCACATGCTGTCCTCTCAGGTGGGACAACCACACATGTCCCCAGACACTGCCTGGAATAACTATACCAGAGGTACAGCTAGCTTACTCTTTTGCCCTTCAGAGTAAATACTTTGTTTGGAAGGGTGGGGTTTAAAGGGGCAAAAGGAAGGCAGGATTCAGATATATTCTGATAATTCTAATGAAGTATTTTTGGAATTTTTCCTACTCTTGGAATCGCCGTGAGGGCCAGTTTCTGATCATCAGAGAAAAATAGCACTTCTTCATGCTCATAGCTCAAGTCTATGTTCTTGGAATCACAGAATTTTGGGATTGGAAAAGATTCATAGAGATCAGCTAGGTTCAAATAATTATGTCATCCATCAAATATTTCAACTCCTGCAAACTCAGAGTTTTCGAGCTCTTTGTCACTAGGACAGCACAGCTGTCCTAAAGAGAGGTTAGAAGATGTATTTCACTATGAAGTATCTGGAACAGAGTCACATGCAAAATAAAAATCAACAGTCACTGGCCTGGGGTGCATTTTTGGATTAGTGTAGAATACCAGCCACCAAAGTTCAGAATGATTTAAAATAACACAACCTAGGGAATGGTCCAGCCCCATAGGGGGAAGATGGGTCTGGGGGACAGGGGGTGCATAGTGAAAACGGGCTCAGTGGTATTAAGATCTGCTGGAGGCCATCACAGCATTTTTAGCAAAAATATTCACAGTGCAGTTGCTTGGCCAGGAAAACCTTATTTCACTTAAACAGCATTTCTCTCTCCTAGTGACACAGCCTGTATTTATTTGCCTGAGATGGTCCACTTAAGCAAGAGTAAACCGAAGGCAAGCCATCTAGAAAACAAATCACCCAGCAGCCTGCTTATTCATTTTTCATAAACATCAGGACCATCTCTTCCTAAACAAAGGGCAGAGCAGTTGCTATAGAGGATAGAAAATGGAGGAAGAGAAATAAGAGTTTGCAAGGGAAAGTTCACTCTGTTCTTTTTGGACCATACTGTTGGGGAGCAATTCTAAGAACTTCCATTATCCTTTTTCATTTTTCTAAGAGTTTACTTTATTTTATTTTATTTTTTCCCATTACCTTTTGGCCCCCTTATACCCTCTGTCCCCTCCACCTACCCCTCCCCCCACAATCACCACATTGTTTTCTATGTCCTCCCCACCCCACCCCCAGAGCTGTCCTTGTCTCCTCATCTGATGTTTTCTTATGGGACAGCATCAGGTGGGACTCCCACTCATCACTCTTTGGCCACAGATGTAAAGCTGACATCTTTCCGTCAGTTGATCAGCAACAAAGCTGACATCCTGAGGGCCCTTTTTCCTGTCTTCTGGGTCAATGGATTTTGAACACAGGAGGGGAGGAACAAGGTGTCAATAGCCCCTAAGACACCACAGTAAGATTTAGGTTAGAATGGTTTAAATTACCATGTGAGAAGACCAGCCCCCTCACACCACATTCTACAACTAAAGGATCAAAGCCCAGTTAAGGCTACACCTCAATGCCCAGAGTCTACTCTCACAAATGGAGAGAAGACCAAGCTGAATACATGACTGAGATTAATTATCTAATCATTTTAAAAGAAGGAAGCAGGGCTCTCCCTGGTTTCAAGGGGTCCTGGCTCTGACACTACCTTGGGTGCGTCAGTCACTTCCATGGAGCTGTTCATCTGTGGTCGCAGAGGTGGTATCCACAAAACCAGGCATTCTAGAAAGTTTCATGTTTATTTGTTCTTAAATATGTTATCAATGAGAGGGGAGGAAAAACAAAAACCCCTGTAAAAAAAGTGCAAAAATGGAGAGCCACGAAACCCTGTGGCTCCCAGGTTGTGAATGCTAACATTCATTCATTCTGTGCATTCCTTCTGGAGTGAGATATCATTGCCTATAAAGGTTCCCTAAGGAATTTAATTTAATGAAATGATAGGATGACTACAATTAGAATATAATTATATATATGTAAATATGCTTAGGGGAGCTTTGGTAGTTTATGGTTGCTACATTCACCCAGAATTCTAGCTTACATTATTAATTTGCCCTACTATGAAGAAAGGGTTTGTTAATTAAAGATAAACTACCCCAATGATTTTGAATTAGTGAACTCCAAATTTTGGTAGGGTAATGAGGCACTGTTCTGCACACATACAACTCTGCTAAGTGAAAGCATTCTGGCTGGCCACATAGGAGGTCTCCTTGTTGAAAGATTTATTTTTAATTTTGAACAGCTTCCCAGCATTACCCTTCATGAAAACTAAAATAAGGAGCTGGGATTTTGTCCTATTCAGCAGACGTCCTGGCAGGAATGCTTGCCATGGCAGACAAGACAGCCTCACTGTGCCACAGGAATTCCCTGTCCACCTTTCTCCTAGACCTAAAAGAATTACACGTACATTTTAAATAAAACTTTGACTTTTCTCTTCCTTCATGGTGGGGGGAGGATCTTTAGCCTACTTTGTGCTCCTTGCACCTTCTGGCCTGGTGGAGGTTGACTTAATCCTTTGGCTTGAATCCTGAGGTATACAGAGTCCTAGAAGTCTCCCCCCAAAATCTGTGGGAGCGAAGCCCATCCTCAGCACATCTTCTGGAGGCTGTTTTCTGCCAAAGAGAATGACTTCACCTGTACACTAAAGCCTCAAAACGTCCATTCCTAGTTCTAAGTCAGTTAAGAACACAAAGCAGTGATGTGTTTGGAGAAAAGCTGCAAAGGTACTTCAGGGCTGAACATAAGAATACGGATTGGATCGCCAGTCAGACTCTCTAGGGGGCTTGAAGATCACTTGGCACCTTGTTGGCACCTTCTAATTCAGAGACGCCAGTGACACAATGCGTTTCCCAGGATCGAGGCCCGGCATCCCCATTGCATCCTTCCAGGAGAGAGCTAATGCAAAACCAGCAATCAGAGTGCTTGTGATGCGAGAAAAACCTCCTGACTCATGCGAGTCTTTATAGAAAGAGAAAACTGATGACCACGAACAGTGTTCACAGCCTGAAAGTGCAGCAATTAAAGCCAAAAGCATAATCAGATGATCTGTTCATACCACGTATTTTCAAAGACTGGCCACACTCGTACCACTGAAGCTGCCGCCAGGGAAGTTTTGCCATTCTAGCTCCAGTTACAAAATTTTCCCCAAGTTTCACCTTTTTATTTAAAGAGTTCAGGGGAAAGTAGAAAAATAATGGCTTTGGATTGGGACACTGGAATATTTCTCACTATAGATCAATTAGTACAGACATATTTTACCTATTGAGTGCACTTACTGAAACATGCTTTTAAGAGAAAAGTGCAGGAAGAGGTGATAGGATTGCGGGCAATTTATAATCCTTTTCTGGCAAAGTTTGTTTTGCCTAAGAGCCTAACAATAGGATAAACCACAGTAAAGCTCCCTTTAACTCTCCAGAAATAAGGAGCAGGGAGCCAGCAATGGGAAACGTGGCGGAAATCCAGAATGGAAAATTATCATGAAAGTGTGGAAACTTCTTCAGGGGAGGAATAGGGATGAGCAGGCCATGGGCTGGAGCCTAGAAATCTAGATTCTGCTCTGCACTTTAAAACATCTAATACTCAAGATTCTGTGAGAGTTCTGCAATTAACTCAGCAGAAGCGCCTCATGAACAGAAAATGGTTTCTAGTTATCTCGATTACAAGAGAAAAGCGATGCAGGAAATGGGGTAAATTAACTCTCCCCCACCCCACATGTCAATTGTGGATTCAACACTGAAAGTGGCCACAAAAGTAGTATGTGCTTTAAGGAAAATTTTGTCAACCACACAGATAAAGCTGCCCATTAAACCACTCATTGCTCACAGATTTACATGGTGATTCGGGTGTGGCTGCATGTCAACTATTTTTTAAATGTTGAAATAAAAAACAAGATCAAAGTTATAGCTGTGAATGCTTCTGCTAGAAAAATACAGCAAATATAAATATGCCAATACAGACTGGTAAAAATCAATTTTATAATCCTAAATAATCTGTAAATGCTCCAATGTCCAATCATGAACCTTATGATTAAAGTGGCCACTACGAATCCCTTACAAGAGAAGTCCAGCATGGAAGGACCCAGCTCACGGGACCATCACCTGGTTTCAATCACTATCTTGGACTTCATTTAATCTCCACCTCTTAGTGCAGGACATGCTACACAGTTGCTGTCCCCCCCACCCCCCCCCAAAAAAAAATTGGCTGAATGAATAAATGTCCCTCTAAGTGTCTTTTGTATTATAACACAGCTCATGGGTTTATAAATAGACCCATGTAGTTCTATTTTAACTGTAGAACTTTAATATCATTCATGGGTATGGACACAAAGCCTTTCTCTATATACATTTGGATCATACAATAAAGTGGGTCTGATTCCTACCTGCTTGGTTGGTTGTCACGGTGACGGACACTGACTGGTCAGGGCTAGGGTTATACTTGGACACTCCATTCACCGCCCATATTTCAAATGTGTAATTGGTATGAGCCAGGAGGTCAGTGATGGAGACTTTGGTGGTCTTCAGGCCATTCTGCTGCGGGGTATAGTGGACCCCGCTTCCACAGGGCCGGCACTTGCTGGAATCACCAGCTCCACATTTCTTGCACACCACATTGTAGGAGATGTCCTGGCGACCTCCTGTGTTCTGAGGACTGCTCCATTCCAAGTTCACCGAAGTCTCATTGACATTTGAAATCAAGTTTAGGGGAGCAGACGGGGGGCCTGGAGAAAAAATAAAAGCACACTATCATACCGAGAACGGAAGGATCCTTTTAGAATCTCTCAGTTTACATTATTCTCCATAGTTATAACAAGGAAGGTGGGTCCATTTGGCAAAGAAAGCAAAAAGAAAATCAAGTTAGCACAAAAGATCTTTTAAGAGAACAGCAGGACAGAAGACTATAGGTGTGCCATTTTCATTTGTGGGCAAACAAACGTAGCAATGCCTGACACCCTGAGATGTAAAGCCACTCAACATCAAATGGGCCCCAAGCCCAGGCTTCCTCTTAAGTGGCAGGAACATATCCCAGCTTATCGACTCTCAATCTCATCATCTGAAAAATGGGTGTGCAAATGTAACTCTAATTCCCAGGGTTGTTGTGGGACTCTGGTAAATTAAGAGTTATATACCACTTCTAAAAATAAATGATTCCTAAGTAGAGCATGTCATCAATATGGAATAAAATGAACTGAACCGTAGAGATATAGGCCTCTTCAATCCAATGTGGGAGGTGAGGATGAAACTGTTTATGGGTCATTAGTAGGAACCAGTTTAACCTGGTTGCAGAGATGTTGAAGGAAGAAAGTACAGGTGTGAAAAGACCTCAACTCGAGGCACATATTGTACAAAGGCACCCACCCCACATGCAGTGTCCAACCAACCACGCTACACAGGGGCGTTTGAAGCACACAGGTATGCCCCGCTTTTTGAAAGTTTGCTTTGCGCCACTTGGCTCTTGCGAAAGACCTACGTTAGTACTTGCTTTCCCTAATTGAAAGAAATCCAAAGATGAGTTTTGCACTCATTAACAAACAGAGAAAAGTGGAAATAGTGTCCAGCATTTGTTTTGTATCCCAGCCTCCTGCCCCAGGGACCACACTCAGCATGGCGGCATCAAGCCGCCTGAGCCTTGCCCTGTGTCATCACATCAGTGTTTTATTTCGATTTATTTTGTGCATCCCTTAGCAAGATGTGCTCTAAGGTGATTACTTCTTTACTTTACGCCCTTTCGGTGTAAGAAACGTTTCATAGAAACTCTCTGCTTTCAGATTGTGGGGGAAACCTGTAGTCACTCCCACTGACATCAAATTGTTTTTGAAATACAAGTGGTGGTGATGGCTACTTTGAAATGGGACAGCTGATCCTGACAGATAGTGGTTGATTAATAATATGACTACTAATAACATACAAGACTATAGAACCATATTGCTGCCTCCTGCTTTAGATTAGACTTTATATGTCAAGAGGTTGTGACACAAACTAATTCGGGGAGAAAAATCAGAGTGGGAGATGAGAGAGGTAATTTTCCTGGTCTGAGCTGGTTCCAAAGGTTTAAAAGACTCCTCTACATTCTAATCAAAAATATTTATTCATTCAGTGCAGCAGTTGGAAAGTCCTCTCTGTGTCCTGTTTCAGCCTTCTAAGAAAAGAGCCCAAGCGAGTTTTAATGAAAGTTCGAGATTTCTTGCTCACTGTATCTATTCTCCTCCTAATGTATTTGTAATGACTGCTTCGAGGGAACTTAATGGGAGGCCTGTGTGAAGTCAAGAGAAGCTTTATCTCATCCACCACAATGGAATGTATGGCTCCAAAGCAGCCGCTGCAAGAGGTAACCGACATACAAGGGTGTACATATAATATTTATTACTTAGCTCATGGTGATGAAGAGCTAAAGAATTTTGGTGATAATACAGAATAAGGTTAATTCATTCTCCCTTTCTCTTTGTACAGCTTAATGGAAGACTTTATTTTAACAAGATAAGCGGGTTCTCCCATGTCCCCTTGAAACTAATTACGTTCTCTCCTGCTCCCCATTCTGTGAACCTTACAGGGAAAACAGTGTTGTAAAATTTGTGTTAAAGGTAAGACTACCCCACAGAAATCCCCAGAAAGAAAATACAAATGTCCTTGTTTAAGATTTCACATTTGTATCCAGGGTCCTTAGCACAGTGACTGGAAGTAACAGGGTCAAATAAATGCTTTTTGAATAAATGAATAGAATTCTTTAAAATCGCAGACTCCTAGAGCCTGATAAGAAAGTAAAGATCAGTTGGTCAAATAGCCTCATTGTAAAGATGAGGAAATTGAGATCCAGGAAGTGGATCTGATCATATGGAAAGTTCGTGCAATCTAATTAGTGACAGAATCTAAAATCCATAACTCCCACTCTGGGGTTGTTTCCACTCCACCATATGGCCCCCATTAAAGGTATAAGAACAATAAAAGCAGCAGCTTCAACCAAAGTTGGAGATGGAAAGGTAGGGAGAGGGAATGTGTCTCTTCAACCCTGGGCAGATTCTATACTCACTGGCCACCGCGGTGAAATCCATTCCTGGTTTGCATCTGACGCCGACCACAGCTTGGTTTACAAAAAAAGGGTTGTAAACCACTGCTTCTCATTTTGCCTCAACTTTCATGGTTAAATAAGAGTGGCTCTCAAATCCATTAACCTTCTTGCCAAGGTTCCTGGTCCACTTTCACATGGGAAAATGCGACACAATGAATCAAGCACCACAGAAGCAAAAAGTCAGTAATTAGTATGTAGGACGGGGCATGGCAGTGTCTAAACAAAGAAGAAATGGAGCAGAAAACTAAGTGGTCACAGGACTCAGAGATATAACACAGACATGTGAAAAAAAAATGCTGCAGGAGTTTAAACTGGAGGGCTGGCAGGGGTGGTAACCAGCCCGGAACAACCTTCTTCTTAACTCACGTAGATGCTCAAGGAAAGAAAGAAAACGAGACACATTCAAGTTCCACGTTGCCTCAGTGAAAGGTCTGGTGAATTGTACTGAGTATGTTTTGTGTTTTGCTGCCATAGGGAGTCATGGTTGTATGAGCATAGCTGCAGCTTAGGAATGAGACTCGGACAGAGAACTGAAGTGGGGGAAGGAGACACAGAAATGTCCGCCCAGTATGATTATAATATTGGCCTGCATAGGCCTGGAAAAGGACGCATGCTTTATAAATTAAAATCATAATGGTGGTTGTATTGTTTGTGGGATCATGTGTTTTTCTTTTTTTTAAACTTTTGCCAGCTAAAGGATAATAAACATATGAAGTATGTTTCCATTTAAAGGAGGGGTCATCCCTTCCTCAGAAAACAAAGAATTCTGTTCTCAAGACATAAGAAAAAAGTAGGGATTTTAATACAGTCCAAAGTCAATCTGGGCCCAAAAGTCATACTTAGCAGTACTTTAAAACAATTGCTTGTAGAGATGGCTCAAAAGAAAAGAAAACAGGCATTCTGAGTAACATGACTTGTCTTAATAGATACAAAACATCCAGAAAAAACACCCTCCACAACGTTTAGATCATCTTCTCTTCTCTTTTGTTCAGTATTGTATCTAGATATTTAGGAACAATTACATTTCTGAAAGGTGACTGACTTTCTCATCAGAAACATTTCCACGTGCAAGTAAGTTTCCAATTACAAATATGAGATGTATCGCAAAGAGGAATAAAGGCAACGTTTGTTTCAGTTTCCCAGTCTTTAAATTGGCATCCTATCTGCTGAGCAGATACCAACATCAGGTAGTTTGTGGGTCATGGTGAACAGTGGGGTTTTCTGATTTGCAAAGCTGCCCAGCAGTGGTCTGAATGTAGGACTGACAGCAATCCAGCTTGTGGTATTGTTTCAGTTTAAGTCTCTATTTCTATTTCCAATTTTGTTTGGTCTTGCTCACCAGACACATCTCGTATACCTGTTTCCATCACCAGTCTATATGCTTCTCCAGAGAAGAACAGATGTCTTCACTTCCCAGTGTCTATCATGATTTGTAGCTAAGAGAAAGCTCAATAAGTATTTGATGAGTCAGTGAATTAGTGAATAACTGCATGGAAAACTAACAAAGTCCTCTAATGCATCTATGCCCAACTACCTACAGTGTTTTGTTTTGTTTTGTTTTAATGTGTGAATTAATGTAGGTTTCTCCGAGCTAAAGCGGTATTAGTCAGCTTTTCATACAGATTCATGAGCATTAAGCCCTGTAAAGGAGTATCTCGATGTAACTAGTTTAATTCAATTTCTTCTAGAAAAAATACTTTGGAAAAAGAAGGGAGGGCTATATATACTGTTAGTCGTTACTTCTTTGGGTGTAGACTGTGGGATCTTCCATTTATTCAATGAATATTAATATTGGGTGTCCAGTATTTGTCCCCTACTCTAGAAGAGAAAGGGGGGGGGGGAGATATTCATTTTGATACATCCCTGGAGAGTCACAAGAAGAGAAGCTGTGGGGAAAAGAAAGAGACTAAAGGAAGCTAAATGTGGATTATGTGAGCGTCAAAAAGGTGTAAAGGCAGGCTCCCTATCCTGTCCTGATTTCAGAGCTCCCTAACCCATCAGTTTGGCTAGGAATTTAAAATGTGGGCTTTAGCAATTAAAGTTCTATTAATATGGAATTGGTTATTATGACTTTTCTTTCCCTATCTTGACTTTAGGTAATGATATTTTCCAGCATGAAGTTATAAAAAACTTTACCTCTCAAGTCAGTAAATTTTAACATTTTCAAAGGTAGGCTGGCATTTTCTTTATTAGCCTTTAGAGAGCTACAGTTCTTCTCTTAATTTTATTTTTATCATTAAAATTAAGACATTTTAAAATTCAAATCAATCAAATACCGAAGTGTATTTAAAGGGAAAATAAATTTCCTTCCTTTACATTTTTTATTTTATTTGAAAAACCCCCTTGGAATTCACTTATAAGCCGAAGATTCTCTGCCTGCATCCAGGAATGGGGATAGCCATGCTAAGCTATTTTATACTTCTCATGTTTAAAGAGCCCTTCACACTTTAAATATAATTTAGTGGCATAGATAATAGCTGTACTGCCAGAACCAAAAGTGAAATGCAATAGCCCTTAACTTGCAAATCCTTTAGAGCAGCATTCAACCTTTTCTGTAAAGGGCCAAGTAGTCAATATTTCAGGTTTTACAGGCCACAGGTCCTGTGTAGCAATTTCTCAACTCCGCCACTGTATTCCAAAAGCAGCCATATGCAA